TTAGAATGCAATAGTTTTTTTGACTTTTGAGAATTTACTTTGTTTGTGAAACATAGATTATGAGTATTTGAGTTACGTTTTATGGATTTTACTGATTAGATTGGAAAGCTTATTATGTTGTTGAAGTTGATGTACTTCATGATGTCATTGTTAAGTATTTAAAAGTAACATGATATGGGTAATCATGTGAATTATTTTGATATTATTTATATTTTGTAAAGTTTTAAATGTTTTGAATTTTAAAGTATATACCCAGTCTGATATGTGATTTAAGATATAGAGATTGTATCCTTGAGAGAAGAACTCAGAACCCGATCGGGACCACTAAGCTTGTGGTTGGCCTTGGAATAGTACAATTAGTAAATATAATATAACATAAAAGAGTTTTAAATTGTTTATTTAATTATTTACTTAAATATCTATATATAAATCATACTGAGTTTTCCGATCATTTTTACTTTTTTTTCTTGTTTTTCGTTTTTTTTAATTTTTAACCCTCACGTAGTAGTAGGAAGGATTAGTGGACTTAGGTTCTATTTATTTCATCAATTCGAGTTTTGCTACAGTAAAAAGTTCTCAGAAACAGTCACATCTAACTTTTTTACTACAGTAAAAAGCTCTCACAAAAAGTCACATCTCAACTCGAATTAAAAACTCGAATCAGCTGCTTGAAAGCGTACGACAACGTTGAAGACCTTTTTATCGCTCTAGTTTCTGATCAAGGCATGTACTAATATTTGGACTTAAACTCTGGTTTGTAGTTATGGAACCCAACTTTTGATACAAGAGATCATCAGTAGTTTTATAAGTTTTTGTACAGAGAACTGACAGTTGTTTCTACAGTTACAATTTCTAGTTTAAATATCGTTATTAGCATATGTTTTTTTCAATAATTTTCACTTCCACGTCACCACCCTATTTTGGGGCATGACAGTAATTGATTATTCCATTACTTGTTTCTGTATTAGGTTATTGCAGGTTAAATTTGAGACATAATGATTATTCCATTGCTTGTACATTTCTTGATTTGTTATTGAATAGGCTCTCATCTTTCCGGAGAATTTGCGAAAAATTTGTCGTTCACCTTGGCCAAATCTAAAAGATTTGAAGGTGAAGACTTACAGTGCATTGAAGAAAGAGACCGAGTTGAGAAACACTTTGGGTACGTTTGAAATTCGTTCCAAAATAATTTTAGTTTCTGTATGAAAATGAAAATGAAAACGTTTTCAATCTCAGACATAAATTATTTTTAAAAATGTGTTTGGTAGTTTTATCAAGAGATTATTTTCAGTATAAAAAAACCCATTAATATCTCTCTCTGCTCGAGAGAGGAGAAAACGAAAACAAAAAATGAAAAATGACTAAAAGTCGTTTTTCATTTCTCTCTCATTTTACACTAAACTAAAAAATCATTTTCATTTCCGTTTTTTATCTTTATTGCGTCAAACGTCGTTTTAGAAACGTTTTCATTTTTTCTCTCTCGAAAACATGAATAACAAAAACGGGATCAATTATAAACACCTTGTGTTGGCTTTCACCTTCGTTAGAGACTCTAGGTGTGTTTGAGATTACTTTTGCACAATAAACAATGCAATTATAGTGTTAGGTATAGGTGCACAAAAGCACTTGCACATAAATCAATGCACTTTTTAAGTTATTTTGATAAGTTAAAATTTGTAGCTTTTAAATTCTATTTCTACTTCTGTTTTTGCTTTAAGTAAAAGTAGTGTTTCTATTAAAAGCACAGCAATTCCAAATTGACCCTCTGTCTATTAAACAAGTAAGGAAAGGTTAATTCAAGCTTAGCCCAAGTAGTTGGACTTCAGAAGACGACTGAATCGTACTTAGTAAGTTGTAGTTAGGATTATTTATTTACGATGCATCTTTTGATGTGGGTATTTATGTCGTTTGACGTACGTTTATGTCGTTTTTCATGGTGAGTGATGCAGTCCATAATCAGATAGAAAATTTGTATTATATATCTATTTTGGTTTTAAATTCTAAGAGTATTGTTTTATGTTTGTGGCAAAAGAGTAATGTGGCTCCGCAAGGACTGAAGTATAATTATATGTATAGGGAAAGTCTTCAATCAAGTATATAACATGTAGAAGTGGGGTGTACTATAGCATTTATTTTATATGATAATAATGAATTTACAAGGTAATTTGAGCAAGAAATTATGTACTTATCACACATAAGTAATTACATCTTTACGTACTTAGTAAGTTGTAATTGTATGCACCAGTAGTATTAATGGATCGTGAACATATGTGTCTACTGTAAAGTGATGCATATTTTGATGTGTCGAGAAAATTTAAATTGCTGGAAAACGGTTATGACATGGAACTGGATGCAGGCGGAGCCTTCGAAGTAAATGGGGGCGTATACTATTTTTTTTTTTTTTGAGAAATAATTAACTACAGAAAATAAAAAAAAAATTCAAATTAGCCACGAAAATAACATTTGTCTCACTTTGCCTCTTACAAGTCAAAGTGATACAAAACTTTCTCCAAAATAAGTTGTAACTTTGCTATTTCCGACATTAAGGTATTAATTTTTTTAATAGTTTTAATCACGCGTGGCTTATTTAAATACGTAGTAAAAATAAATATAGTAAATTTAAAACCGTTAAAAAATTAAAATCTTATTGACAAAAAACTTTTAATAAACTAATGGAGAAATGGGCATTTTTTGGCATCTTGAGTTGTAAGAGAAAAAAATAAGATAACCTTTTGATTGGTGGTCAAATTTAAAATTAACCAAAATAAAAAATAGTATTACAGTAATTTCAAAACTACTATATATATATATATATATATATCTCTCTCTCTCTCAAAAAAGATCATCAAACATATTCCAATAGATGGCGATGAGTTTTATGTTGCATAATATTTTATTTTATAGGTGTTGATATGACAACTTTTTTGAGTAGGGGTGAAATGGGAGAAACAAAAATTTTTGAGGTTAGAAATCAAAAAAAAAAGAAAAAAGAACTCTATCGAGGCGGCACCACATGCCTTCGCCACAGACTGGACAGGCGTTTTAAAAACTGCATATTGGTTTGATCGGATAGTTTGCGGTTCCCTTTGCAACCAATCAAAACTCTTGATAACAATATGATCAGTCAAGTTACGAAGAGTCTAGTTAATTTCCTAATTTATTTGCGAAAAGTTAATGCTGTAGGTTCGCATACTTTTTCAGATACCTTTGTATTGACCTTCAGAATTCCTAGACCATGATAGGAAATCAACAGACTAGATTTTTAAAATTGACACGTGATAAAAAAAAAGACACATTATTAATATTGACCTTTAGAATTCCTAGACCATGATAGAGAAGACACGTGATTAATATTGAACTTTAGAATTCCTAGACCATGACAGAAAATTAACAGACGAGACTTTTAAACTTTCCTACTAGATTTTTACTATTATATAAGAAGGGACTTTTGTCTTCTCAGTTCAGGATCAAAAAATTTTGTACCCCCTTCTCTTTGCTTGATATGTGATTCCTCATTTTTCTTTTAGTCTCTTGGAGTCAAATGGCTACAAAAAGAGTAAAACCAAACTTTAGAGACCAAGATACCAGCGCGGCTTTAGACAGAATTTCAAGATTACCTGATCCTGTAATTCATCGCATTCTCTCTTTTATTCCCACCATTGATGTTGTTCGGATGAGCCTCCTCTCGAAGCGTTGGAGACGCATGTGGTATTCAGTCCCTTCCTTGGAGTTCTCAGATGCTGATATTACGCACTCCGCCTTTCACTCTCGCAAAAGATTCTGTAATTTCGTCGACAAGTGTTTGAAACACCGCGAGGCAAGCATGCGCTACATTTCTGATTCATTCATAACTAGATTTAAGCTTGATATTGAGTATTATGGAGGTAGATCTGCGCTAGATAATTGGTTATCCTTCGTAATTCGAAGCAATGTTGAGGAATTTGATCTTCGTGCGAAACCAAAATTTGAGTGGAGCTACATTTCTGATTCATTCTACTGCTTACCTGAAGCGGTGCTTAGTGCGGGGTCATTGAATGTTTTGAAGTTGGAAGGTCTGAAGTTGAATGGTGCTTGTTCAGTAAGTCTTCCATCCTTGAAAACTTTATCCTTGACGGCTGCCGAATTGAATGATCACATATTATGTGGTTTAGTCATGGGATGCCCTTCCCTTGACAAAATTCTGTTGAAGAATTGTATGGGATTGTCGAATCCGAGAATTTCGAGTTTAAGCCTCAAGTTCTTAGAAATTAGATACTCATCTTGTCAAACACTTAAAGTTGAAGCAATAAATGCGGAGTCTTTCACATATTCTGGTTATTGTGAGGACATCAATATTTCTGCCTGCAGGGCAATTAAAAGTCTTTCTCTGCTTAACAATTGGCTCGATGACAAGTCTTTGGAAGATATAATTTTTGGACTTCCCCTCCTTGAGAGTTTGACTTTAAGGGGCTGCTATAAGATGAAGAGCATCAAAATTTGCGGTCAACACCTGAAGAATATAACACTTGAAAAGGTTTTTATTAGAAGAGAAGAAGTAGAGCTCTCAATTGAAACTCCAAACCAAGTTTCCTTCTGTTACCAGGGTGATGTAAGGTTTAGCTTAAAGATGAAGTCACCAAATCTATCGAATGGCAACTTCGTAATTCGGCAGGACTCTCACGACAATGTCTATGACAACAATTGGTATATCGATATGATAACATTTCTTTCAAATATGAATTTCTCCTGGAACTGCGTGGACGTTCATGTTTACAAAGAAGAGGTATATATACGTATATCTGCAAATCTAATAATTGATTGTTCGATTTCATGTTTATATACAAGGTAATTGCAGGTTAAATTCTATGCATAATTGATTTATCACTTTAATTTATTGATGTCTCTCTTTTATATTCTTAATTTGTTATTGTCAATAGGCTCTCATTTTTCCGGAGAATTTGAGAAGGATTTGTGGTTCACCATGGCTTAATCTGAAGAATCTGAAGGTGAAGACTTACTGCTACCCAGAAAATGATCCCTGATAAAAGCATGCTGATGGACGTTGGTGACCTTCCTTGACTTAAGAACTGCACCCAACCAATTCACAAATTAGAATTACGCATGCAAAAACAGCAACATTTACTCAAATTCAAAGCATAATAGAGACAAGGAGCTTTTTGCGTGCCCTATCGGCATGGTAAGTTTTTATAGCCGTCCGTTTCCATTAAATTTTAATGGTCCAATTTATGAATGTTCATGTTAAAAATGGTGCATCATACGTCATAAAAGTACTCCCACTCATAGATCAAGCTATTGAAATTTAATTGAATGGCTAAAAAGACTTGCCACATTGGCAAAAAAATGTGTTCCGCCGTAACATTTTCCTAAAGAAGACAAATAGGAAGTATATTAACCGGTTAAGAATCCTTACCTTGTCCTGAATCATAGTTCTCTTTAGCAATGGAATCCTCCCAGTGCTTCCATTGACGTATCTAATCATAACCAACAGTTTATAAACGAACGAACACAATAAAGAGTACCGCAGAAAAAGTTCCAAAAAAAAAGGGCATATTAGACGCTCACCTGAGCCCCTCCAAACAGAACAGTGAGAACACAAAAGGTCACATGGACGATCGCTAGGACAAAGATAAAGATATGTAGATGATGCAATGCTTCAACAGATAAAAGCGGCACTTTGTTCTGAAGGAAAATAAAGAAATAAATAATTAATGCACATAACTTTTCTCACTCTCAAAAAAAAAAAAAAAAAAAAAGAAATGGATGCTTGTAAAAGCTGTATGAATGACATGGGAACTCCCACATTTTAGGAGACAATCTATCTTAAAGACAAGGCTTTATGTCACTTTTTCCACTATTACTATTATCAAGAAAACCACTTCGTCACCATAACCACTAAGACAAAGCAGAATATTTCAGCATAAACAAATACATAAATCTACTGTTAATGATAAGAAAAATATACCTTTAAGACAAGTAGTTTCTAACACTAATATCTAAGACAAAGCGTAAGAGTTTGAGCAAAAATAAATAAACCGATTGTTAATAGTAAGAAAATCTACTTTCAAGACAAGTAGTTTCTACCACTAATATTACCACTGTCAATATTACAACCATCATCAACAACACCCAAAACTGGTAATAGAGAAGAGAAAAAAAAAAAAAAAAAAAAAAAAAAAGGAAGCATGAAAAAGAGAGAGAATCCAAAATTTAGGTCACAAGCAGAACACACGAAACCCACAATCAGATCGAATACAATGACCTTCCAGAGAAAATAACATCATGACTTATAAGCGGATCTGACTAAGTGATCCTATCGAATATCAAAAGTGATAACTACTGCAAATGTGGAAATTGCCTGAAATAGGGTCACTTAATTAGGTTCACTCATGGATCATGATGTTACCCCTCTCTGAAGTCCTTTGTGGTCCATCTATTAGTGAGTTTTGTGTGTTTTGATTATGTATTTAATTAAAAAAATTGGGCCTCGTTAAGGGAAAGGGTTCGAGGTGGGTTGCTGAAGTGGGGGTAATCAACAATGGATCTTATTTTATTTTATTTTATTTTATTTCTTCTATTTGGTGAGGGTCTTAGCTTTTTTTCTTTTTTTCCTTTTTTTTTTCTCTCTTGGATTAGGATCCTCAATTTCCCATATGTCCGTCCAATGAAATTATACCATGTTAATTAGAATACCACGTCAATTAAAATATGTACATTTTCACTTCACTTTTCATTTTCTATCGGTTCATTATTATTATTATTATTATTATTTTTCTTCCTACCTCCTCCTTCCTCACTAAGCCTGTTTCAATACTCCAACAGCAACATTGAGTATAACAATGATGAACAAGTCAAGACTCGAGAGTTCTGACTTGTATGTTATTGATTCTTGAGCCTTGCTGTCGCGGATGAGCCTCTCGGCCTCTTATGTCGCCTCGTTGAATGGGAAGTCATTTCATGCCCCGCTGCTCCTCAACTTGAAGACCCTCCGAGAAATACTGGTGGAAAGTGTATGGGACTTAAATCACTTGTCTAATTTTTAGTGTTTCAATAAGTATCTAACTAATTAAATTATAACACGCCATTTAGTAGATCTAAATATTTAAGTAAGAAAAAGTTAGTAAAAAGATATTTTATTCTTTCAAATGATGCGACACCATGGTGGAGATTTGGGGAGTTTTTGGAGCGCCATTTTCGGTCCTTTGGCAGCGATATGATGTTGTTGCTTTGAGCTCTCGCCGGTGCGGATTTGGGAGACATGATGTGTGGGGTGCTCACTGCCAGAAATGGACGTTTTGGGACTTCTGACAACACAAGATTTGCGATGTTTCCGATGGACCTGTAGTATGGGGGTATCAATCCCGAGTGTACAACGTTTACTTTGGGGATCTCTGTATTTTAGTTTCAGAGTGGTAGTTATGCTCCTTTCATTGCAGCTCTTCTCAAATTCGATTGTCTACTCCGTAGCGTGATGGTCAGCTTGTTGTTATTAAGTCCTCCCTATTGGTTGTGGCTATTTATTTTTTTCGTTATGTTTATTGTTTCGTAATAAAGGCGTTGATATTTCTGCCTTGTTGGTGTTGGTTTATATTGTTTTGTTATTATATTAGTTTTGTAATAACGGAGGTGGTTTCTCCGCCTTCCAACATTGTCCAGCTATATTTGATTCTATGTCGTGTCACTCGTGTCCCTAATATTTGAGGTTTGGTCTCGGTCGATTGGATTAATACATTGACTGTAAAAGTCCCCGTTGGGTCTCGGTACTTGTATTTCATCCTTGTGCTTCATCAGTCTATACCGGTGAATCCAATCAATGTTTCGGGTCGAATTTCCTTGTAAGTGGTGCTCACTTGCAACTAGTTTGAGTATGAAATTTATTTTAGTGAAATGAAAATTTTCCCTTCAAAATAAAATCTGATTGATTACTTTCAACACCGTTCTGGACACTAAAATTAAACAAATAATTTGAGTCCAGTCTAGAGAGTGATAATATTTTATTGAATTTTGTATACGTCTTTATGCAATAATACAAGGCTTTATCAAACAGGGAAAAGGGAAAAACCGAGTAATTACAGATAAATGAAAATTCTTGGTGTTACCATATCCAGAAAAATTACCATATGCGACTTCTTAATGGAAACATTTCACCATTTATTTCTTAATTTCCAAAATTGTTGCTACAATTATGGTTGTTCCTTAATAAATTGGAGCGGGAATTGGGTTTCTTGATTTTGGTCTTCCCCAAAATGGTGGGTGTAAGAATATGGATGTGATATTTGAATTAGACTTGAATCTATTGATGAGTTATATTCTGATTCTGCTTTCGCAGAGTCACTTTGAAAAAGAAAAAGAAAAAAAAAAGAGTAAACCCGAAAAAAAAAAAAGAAGAAAAACCATAATAAAGAGACGGTATATATATTTAATTAATCTAATGCTTCAATTGATGTTGTATAATTTTATTGAAGAGATAAAGAAAAGGACGGAAAAAAGGTGACTGAAAATCCGGCCCACAATTGATATACTCTTCTTGTCTCTGAGTTCAGATTTACTGTCGTCGTTTTTTTATCTTCACTAATTATTTATTACATTATTTAAATTTAAAAATCTGACCACATAGACACAAAATACTCAAAATACTTAAACAAATTATGAAGTGTTAAAATTTAATTAGAAAGACAGCTATCAAAATAAGAAAATAGGACAACCCAAATCTATTTTAAAATTATGTTATATTTTAAATTACTATTAAATTGGGCCTGTTCTTTTAGAGTGTAATTTGAGTGTAGTTTTTTAGTTGAATTTGAGTTATAACTTGAGTTGAAGTTGCAACTTGAATAAAGTTGAGTAAAGTTAAATAAATTTGATACTTAAAAGAACATTAACTTGAATAAAGTTAGAACTTGAGTTGTCTTTTTTTGAGTTTTTTAGACAAAAGAACAAGCCCTAAGTTTCTAGAAAAATACAATACAACCCCCGTTTATTTTCTTATAATTATTCTCCTAATAAATTTAACAATATTATAGTAAAGATAGATTTTTTTTTAAAGAAAATTAAAAAATACAAAATTATTGTGTGAGCTATGTATGTAACTTTGTAATTACAGTTAATTTTGATTAACACATCTGTTAAGTATTTTAATCTTAATTAATTAAGTCGTGTCTCAAACAGTATTATAATACCATTTAAAACACCAAACGTACAATCAGATCTAACAATATCAATAGCGTTTGTAATAACCACGATTCCGGACAGTGGCACCCAAATAAACAACTTAATTATTACTTCAATTTTTGTCCAATTCGAACATGCAACAGTAATTTAATTTCTAAAAGCATTATATGTTTGCACTAATTTAAGGCAAACCACAAAACCCACACTAATTTGAAACAAAAGCACTTGTAATTCAAAAACCTAGTTTAAATCTTACCAAAATCACGATCTGCAAATCTTGTCAACTCCATGAGCGTGAAAATCTGTATTCATGTGATGAATTTTATTGAAAAGAAAGGACAAAAAAAAAAAGAAAAAAAAAAGAAGAAGAAGAAGCAAATTACACTAAATAAAATGAGAAAACAAAACAAAACTTCCAAAGTATCTTTTATTCATCATATAGTAAAAGACATATTAAACAAGCCTAAAACTTCTAATCACCAAGTTCTCTGCCATGTACTCTATAGAGAAGACATGCCAACATGCAACACGATGGGACTTATTTCTTGCTCTAATAATCACCAAAAGAAAGGAAAAAAAAAAAAGAAATTTCAGAAATGCATATTTCCATTCCCAAACCCTAGGCGAGCATGGCAAAACGCCGGCTGCGGCGGGACTACACCCGCCAAAGAAGTAGCGTTTTCCGGCGGCGCTGCCTTCAACTCCTGAACCCTTGCAGCCACTCTCCTCCTCAGCTCAATTAGCGCCGCCATATGCTGCCTCAGCTCCTCCATACCCATACCCTCTATCCCCTCGTCCCACCAGAACTTTTCGCCGCCGATCTTCGCTTTCTTCTTCTCCTCCGCCAACCTAGTCTTCTCTGCCTCAAGCTCTTTCACTGCCTCGACAAAATCTCTGTTGAACTCTTCAGAAACATGCGTAACAACATTAGTAGAAGTGCTGGCGGCGGCGGCGGCAGCAGTATTTGTGCCATGAGCGTATCGGAGGACGACGGAGTCGACGGAGGGGTGACCGAAGGCGAAGAGCTTGTCATTGGGGGAGAAGACGAGGGCGGCGACCTCGGAACCACAAAGGACGCTGAGCTCGGCGGCCTTTTTGAAGAGGCCGGAGCGGCGCTTGGAGAAGGTGACTTGTTTGTTGCTTCCGTTTTCAAGCTTTTTAATTTCTATTCTCTGCCGGCCTTGAGTTTTCTTCTCCTTCGTGATCTCGTTCAATACAGCCATTGATTTAGACGAAGAAACGAAAGAAAAATATATTAGGACGAGTTTAAAAACTCAGCGTCCTTGCCTTTTTATAAGGCAATTCTTCCTTCTTGTTTCCATATATTGTTGATCGGAGAGTATTTCCTAATTAAGGCAAGTTTCCATATAATAATTAAAAGAATCAATGTATAAAATTGACCGGGAAATTAATCGACCTTTCCCTTAATATAACTTTTAAGGGGAGTTTGTTTTTAATTTATATATTACGAATGTATTTAGATAAATATTGGTGTGTGAAACAATTA